ATCATATTAGTTTTAACTTCAGCTGTGATCCCTCAAAAAGAAAGTTTTAAAGGATGTTCATAGTGTCTTCAAACTTTTCACTAACAGTTCAGGCACAAATATCCGCCCATGGATGGTACTTTATGATAAGTGTTGTCCAGATTATTTTGTGTAGACTTCCTGGTACAACGAACACTTATACAAATAATATCAAGATGCAGTTCATCTCGAGCACTGACAAAGGAGCTCCAGTCATTAATCTCAAAGTTTTGATGTAATACCCAGAAAAAATATCTGGATCACAAGTACACAGACATAGTCATCTTTAATGACTGACAGTGACACCTAGACCCATATGTGACACATGGCTTGTCATATGTCTTGAGAACTCTTGGTAAACACAACCTAAATTACCCCCCCACGTATCACCCCATGTATCACCTATGTATCACTTATGTATCACTTATGTATCACCCACGTATTAGTTACTTGGTTGATTGAGCTCACCTGAATGTGGTAGGGCGTCGAATCTACCACTGTGTAGCCTTGGTGGTTAACAGAACCAGGTTGGGCTTTCAGGTCGAATCTGTTACCTGTGAGAGAGAGAGAGAGAGAAATGAAACATTAAAAAATGCTATAACTGAAATAAATAACATTTCTCAATTATTTTCTGGGATATGCCTACGTATGCCCTGAGCCTCTGATTGGCTCTCTGTGACTCATTTCTGCCAGAGGGTAAGTCCTTATGACTCGTATGGTGTCTTTAATAAAATTATGTCCAATGTGTTTAACAACTTCTGTGCTGTTAAATCTGTTTAAATCTTATTTGGTTGGGATCTCTGCACTGTGTTTGGATAATGTTCCAGCGGTCTGTTGGGCATTTCTCCACAGTGCTGACATTTCCTCTTTTCTTCTGGAACCTGTAAACTTATTTCCCATGCACGTGGGTATCCAAACCTGATGTGGTTTAAGTATACTGCAGTTTTCCTATTGTTCCCTTTCAACAACAACAACAATGTTCAATAGTTTGTCAAATTTTTGTACCAAATTGCAGATTCAGTTTATTTCAAATGCTGTGTTTCAACCATTCCATTTTCTACAATGCTCTATGTCTAATTATTTTCATTATCAGAGATAGACTCTGTGGTATGTAAATGTCTACATTCTTTATTTTGATTGCAAGTTTTGCAGATTCATCTGCAATGTCATCCCCTAGTATTCCTACATGACTTGACACCAAGTTGATTGGTGAACAAATATTAAAAAAGTATATATTTCCCCCTTCTATCCCTTGCATTCTAATTTTATTCATCCCATGTTGACCAGACCACACACTAGAAAATGAAGGGACGACGACGTTTCGGTCCGTCCTGGACCATTCTCAAGTCCACTGCCGGCCATCCCATGTTTATTGTCCCACAACACAAGTGACTGTAACTGACCAGAGGGAGAGTTGAGGGTAGCAGTAGTCACTCCCCCAGAGATGGACACCTCCAGCTCCTGCACCAGGGAGTCCACAGGTATTCTCACAGTCTGGGAGGTCGTGACATCAAACACCCGTCGAAGTATTGCCTGGAACACGAACCAGCAACCTTTCACTGTCTATTCTAATCCACTGAAGACTATAATATTGGACAGACTGGAACATGTGACAGCCATTAAGATTAAGCCACTCCAGAGATGACACTCCAGAGTAAAGAAGGGTAGAAATAGCCTAATCTACTCTATCCCTTTGAGGTGTATTTGATTGTCTAAATAAACGTACTTGAACGGGCATGAATAACCCGTAAGTGGTAAAAAAAACCCATAGATAGTAAGTTACTTAAGTATAGCTGGAGACTATACCTCCCCCCCAGTACACCCCACTGCTACACCCCCCCCCAACCCACACTACTGTAAAAGAGTCACTTCCCCAATTTTCAGAAATATGGATTGTGTATAGAACCAATACCTTAACCATCTCAATCACTTACCAGTGGATACTGCGTCTCCTCTAAGATTCTTGCCGTTTCTTCTACCTTATCACCCGTCGTCTCAATGACCTGACCTCCTGTCCTTTGAGCCAGCTCATTGTACTTCTCAAAGCTCTGCAACTGACGCTTCTTGCGAGAGGAGATGTTGCTGCTGCTGCTTCTTGACCTAAGGGAAAGTGTGCAAATGTCATTCATTAATTAATTTGTGGCGAGATTAGTGTCATTTTGCTCAAAGGTGTATAATCACTGTTTGCAACAGGTGCGAGAAGGTAGGTAAAGCTTGAAATTTCAATAAAGCATTGAAATTAAAGCATCCTAGTGTACTTATTTATTTGGATAAGGTCTGATTGATGAGTGAGGAAAATCAGATTCCTTTGATCTTTCCCTATTACCTGAGGCCGCCATCTTTTCCCCATTAACTGAGCCTACCATCTCCCCCATTATCTGAGACTACCGTCTTCTTCCATTACCCAGGACCCATTATCTTCATTATATCATGCTGCTATTCTCCCCATTACCTAATATTCGGGTCCTGACGGGTCCTGACACGGTTCAGACTCGTTTCTTCGGGCCTGAGGTTGTCCTCTAGCTCTAGGACCAGCCTGCCAGTGATGCCTCCGTGTAGCAACGGCATCGTTATCACTGGCGTCACCTGGAGAAAAATAATGTGTCGGTCATTTGGAATTTATTTGGTAATAATCACTAGCATTATTTTATTCTAGGAGTGAAGAGACACAGTCTGAATTCTGAGTTGTCCATTATACAGATGTAAGGAGATAATTGCTTGACAAATTTGGCGAGGTGACGGCAAAGAAAGAGAGATCTGGGTCAGAGTGCATCTTCCATGACTGTCCGAAAGATATCGACACTGTCCCTCACGGGAGATTTCTACTTTTAAGCTAGAGAAGACAGGTGGGTACTTAGAAGAGACAGGTGGATACTTAGAAGAGACAGGTGGGTACTTAGACGAGACAGGTAGATACTTAGAAGAGACTGGTGGATACTTAGAAGAGACAAGTGAATACTTAGAAGAGACAGGTGGATAATTAGAAGAGACAGGTGGGTACTTAAAAGAGACAGGTGGATACTTAAAAGAGACAGGTGGATACTTAGACGAGACAGGTGGATACTTAGAAGAGACAGGTGGATACTTAGAAGAGACAGGTGGATACTTAGAAGAGACAGGTGGATACTAAGAAGAGACAGGTGGATACTAAGAAGAGACAGGTGGACACTTAGAAGAGACAGGTGGACACTTAGAAGAGACAGGTGAACACTTAGAAGAGACAGGTAGATACTTAGAAGACACAGGTGATACTTGTGCATCTCACCTTGATGGACTTAGAGAGTGCTAGAGTAATGACAGCATCGAAAAGCTCCGGATCCTTGATGGAGGCGTCGGTGAAGAGGTAGACCTGAGAGTGTGGAGGACTGGTGTGGAGAGCCAGGTTCAAGGCCGACATGCTCAGCTGTAAAAGGAGTCACATTGGTTGTTGACCAGACCACACACTAGAAGATGAAGGGACGACGACGTTTCGGTCCGTCCTGGACCGTTATCAAGTTGTGTGTCATCACATAAGGCTTGATAATGGTTAAGAATAGACCGAAACGTCGTCTATTCATCTTCTGATGAGTGGTTTGGGTCATCATATCATCAGCCACGTTATTGTGACTCATTGTCGGCACATTGGTTAATACATACGTGTTGTAAATATAATGATTAAGGGTAATGCGGAAGTCCTATTGATCCGTATGAGGCAGCTACTCTTAATAGCCACCCAGATAGCCTGGGTGGCTATCTGGGTGGATATTATCTGTGATAACCTCTGGGATTCAGGCACGACTGACAATAAACAAACATATCTTCTAAAAATGATAGCACATCTATGTAAAAAAAGTATTGTCAAAGGCATAGCTAAACAACAACATCCTATACATCTAATCTGTCCTTGACCTAAATAAGCAATCCAAGACTTAAAATACGACGGCACCGCTCCTGTGCCAGGTAAGTTACGGGCTCACCATAGCCCGTGCTACTTGGAACTTGTTCCGAGTAGCTGAATCTATAACAACAACTTAAAATACGTAATCTTAGACCGAACGGGAGGCAGACCATCCGGCCTGTCTCCCGTCTGGACCATCCGGTCTGTCTCCCGTCCATCCGGCCTCCGTATTCCGTCTGGCCGGTGAGGTAACTTGCCTCAGCTTCATCGCCTCCACCAATGGCTCTCAGTTGGGTCAAGGCGTTGTAGATCTCCTCAGGACGTCGAGATCTCGTCACTGGTCCGTATACTAGAGGTAAGAAAATGCTTAAGTTTTAGTTTAATGAAGTTCAATATTGCGTCGGGGGCTCAGTGAAGATAAATGGCATCAATAAGTCAGAAATGTCACATGATTAGGTGTGTATAGTGACTGCTTGCTAGTTACTGACCCTCTATAGCGAGTGTGCTTGCTATTGTTGGTCAATAAGCTACTGTGGTAGCCCTGATGACCCTGTTGGTGAGCATATTGACCCTTAAACTACTGTTTAGAAACCCCCCTGTATTCATTCCGGGTTATTCATGCCCGTGCCACCTCTTGGGTTGCTTAATCTTCATCAATCAGTTAATCAATCCCTATATTCAGGTGAGCATGGGGAAAAAATAGTACTGAAAACTCACATAGAACAATTATATTTGTCTATTTTGAACACAGGTAGGAAATTGCAGATCGCGATTGGAGCAAAGAGGTACAGATTGAAATTTCACGATTGGAATCTGTACAGTATTAGAGCAATCTTAAGGCCAAGATTAACATCAAAGTTTGAGCAACCTCATCCCATTGTGTGTGTTTATACCTCAATAAACTTATTTCAATTTCAATTTAAAAAAAAACAAAGAAATCTCTCTCTCGGGATACTGAAATATATACACCGGTATATACCACCATTTCTTACGAAATATACACTCAAAAGTTTATATACTTGAAGTCTTTGTTATGTTCAGGATTAAATTACATATATACAAGTGATTAGTAAGCTATTAATGTGCACCATCTGGTTACCACTTGGTCCGGGAGACATCTCCCGTCACGCAGGGTGCAGTCGCACCTCCACAGATCTCCAGTATCATCTATTGATACTGGAAATGGCTCAAAAGGGCCACCACTTACGGGCTATTCATGCCCGTGCCACCTTTTGGGTGGCATAATCTTCTCTCTCTCTCTCTCTCTCTCTATTAATGTGGCAAATCCCCCCCCCCCCCCCTCCCGCCCTATTATATCCGAACGAACGTTCGGATATACGTTCACGTTCGGTTACGTTCACTCATTACGTGACTGAACGTAACCGAACGAGGACACTGTACCCTTTACATATGTTGCAGTGTATTGAATTAAATCGTACAGTATTAGGTATTGACCTAATACTGTACGTGTTTAGATTATGTACGTGTTAATACTTTGGTTACGTGTTTAGATTCGTTTAGGTTAGATTAAGTTGCATTAGAGTTGATTAGTCAAGATTAGATTAGGTTGAATCAAGCTTGATTACGTTGGGTTAGATTAGATTAGGTTAGAAGTGATTATATTGGGTTAGACTTCATTACATCGGGTTAGATTACATTGGGTTAAGCTATATCACTTTTGCTAGATTAGGTTAGATAAGATTGGGTTATAATAGATTAGGTCCGAAACCTGACATATACCCGATATGACTTCGTCAATTTCAAGGCTCAATGTCCCCAAGCTGGTCCTCCACCCAGACCTCGTCTGGTCTGGTTGGAGGAATTCCATCATTCAGACCTCGTACTTGAACCACACTACGTGAATCTACACGACTCGACGGCAGGTCTTACTTACGCGGATCATTGAAGGGCACGAACACGTACTCCGCCGGCGGATAGGTAGCGACCTCGTGCTGCTGGACCAGGCGACTGACGGAACGTCGAAGGGCGAGCAGTTCCTTGTCCATGGAGTCTGTGGTGTCGAGGACGAGGACAAGGGCTGGCGTCGGGTGGAGGCCCAGAAGGCGACTGAAAGTGGCGTCCCCGACGCCTCCACGAACGAGATTAATGTAGTACTCACTCGCCTGTTAACGGATGTTCTGGTACTAAAGTTACAGAGTACTTGTACTAGAGTTATTGCAGTGTACTTGTGCTAGACTTACAGTGTCATTGTACTAGACTTACAGTGTCATTATACTACAGTTACAGTCATTGTACCAGAGCTACAGAGTATATTTACAATGACACATTACTATGAGAATCGAAACTTTGAAATAAGTCTTAATTCTTAACCCTTATAGTCTGTGGTGTTTGAAGAATCACAATAATATATCAGGATTATTATTCACTTTTTCATTAATAATTACAATTAATTTGTCTTATAATACAAAAATTCTTGCCTTAGATCCAAGCCATAAAAGCCCTGGAACTACATAAAAGGGTTTTGTATTAAATTACAAAACAGAATGGGGAATTTTGTGTGGTGGGGGGGCAGGAAGTGGGGTGCAGGAGACTGACTTTGATGGCCTGTTGTGCCGCTTGCTGGTGCAGGCTGTGGTGGGGGGAGAAGCAGGCTGTAGGCAGCTCCTTGTTGATGCCTCCTCTGGCGCCGCCTGCCCCGCGCGACCTGTCTCTTGGGCCGCCGTGGCTGCATTTGTCTGTACACACAAACAGGACGAAAGGAATATGTTAATGTGTTTCCATGATTCGGGGCTGTATGAGGGATGTATTAGGGCTGTATCTGGGCTGTATTAGGGGTGTATCAGGGTTGTATCAGGGCTGTATCAGGGCTGTATCTGGGTTGTATTAGGGCTGTATCTGGGCTGTATTAGGGGTGTATCAGGGTTGTATCAGGGCTGTATCAGGGCTGTATCTGGGTTGTATTAGGGCTGTATCTGGGCTGTATTAGGGGTGTATCAGGGTTGTATCAGGGCTATATCAGGGCTGTATCTGGGCTGTATCAGGGCTGTATTAGGGCTGTATCTAGGCTGTATCTGGGCTGTATTAGGGCTGTATCTGGGCTGTATCAGGGTTGTATCTAGGCTGTATCAGGGCTGTATTAGGGCTGTATCTAGGTTGTATCTTGGCTGTATCAGGGCTGTATCTGGGCTGTATCTAGGCTGTATCAGGGCTGTATCTAGGGTGTAACAGGGCTATATCAAGGCTGTATCAGGGCTGTATCTAGGTTGTATCTGGGCTGTATCAGGGCTGTATCTGGGCTGTATCTAGGCTGTATCAGGGCTGTATCTAGGGTGTAACAGGGCTATATCAAGGCTGTATCAGGGCTGTATCTGGGCTGTATCAGGGCTGTATCAGGGCTGTATCAGGACTGTATCAGGACTGTATCAGGACTGTATCAGGACTGGGACGTTACTGGAAGCCAATAATACAGAATGTGTAGCGAGAGAGGTGATAAGATGGTGAGACTGGTATTTGAAGTGCTAGATAATGAGTCACTCTGTAGTTGGGTCAACTGCCCCATGAAGATGGGTAAGGGGCCCCCAATAAAGGTAGGTAAACTGCCCCATGAAGGAACGTAACCCGCACCATGAAGGTGGGTAACTCCATGACATAATTGGTCATGGCATAACCAATTACGTTATGCACTCAGCTGAATAAGCAGCCCATCGTCCTGTTTTGGTAGTACTTATAGTAACGATGAATACATAGTATAGTATACCATAGTATACCGGTATACCATAGTATACCGACGTACAACAAAATTAGAACGTAGAAATCTGAGCTACTGAGTTGGATAATCCGGAAAACAATTTTTATACCTGTGTTGCTTTGGCAAATTAAACTAACCTATCCTAACCTCCCTAGACGTAATACACGATATCTAAGGCCTAAACTAGTACATATATGTGCTATACTAGGCCTAGAAATATCTAAGTTTGTACTTTAGCTTCATTTATTTTAAAATATTTGACAGGAGTCAATGTTCACTCACTAACGTCTCTGGGCTTCTGCACCCGCTCGTTGTTGACGAAGGCGTTGTCGGTGTAGCCTGAAGTGAGCTTCCCTGCCTCCATGATCTCCTTCAGCAGGTTATTGGGGCAGGAGCCAGCACCGTCAGCAGCCTCTGGACAGTCCTTACACGTGTCTTCATGGATCCCAGCCACGTTCTTGAACTCCTTGCTCGGAACACCTGAGGAAATAATGTGTTCAAAATCCGTTTATCCTTATTGAACAAGATTAATCAGTTCATTATTTGATATCGAATAGTACAAGTATTTATACGATGGGAGAGACTTATATACCGGATGAGGAAGATTTATATGGATCTAATTAGATGGGGAAGATTCGCCAATCTAACAGATTTAACAGGAAAATTAAATTAACACCGACACCCAAAACTGTTCCAATATCGCTGCTCTTACCAACGTCAGGGTTGAAGTCCGTGTTGCCAAGTTCGATCCAGTTGGTGTTGGAGTAGAAGTCCTGGATAGCCGCGAGGGATAGCCCCAGCAGGTGGATAGCCGAGCTGTAGTCCCCTGCGTCCCCAGCCTTGACTATCCTCCGCCAGCGGCCCGACAGTAACTGTTGCGTCTCGGAGAAGCGTTCGTTTCCGAAGTGGTACCTGTCGGGACCCAGGTGGAATCCCGTCAAACGCGGTAGCTTAAATCTTGCTACTATAAACATATGGTGCCTACGGTATCTTGAGTCTTGTTTACCAAACTACACACTAGAAAGTGAAGGGACGACGACGTTTCGGTTCGTCCTGGACCATTCTCAAGTCGATTGTCGTGAAGACCATCGACTTGAGAATGGTCCAGGACGGACCGAAACGTCGTCGTCCCTTCACTTTCTAGTGTGTGGTCTGGTCAACATACTTCAGCCACGTTATTGTGACTCCTCGCCTGCACTCACACCTTACTCTTTTATCAGCATACCTGACAGCCTACTTGGGGTTCAGCATCTTTTAACACCTTACCTGGGTTCAGCATCCTTAAGATCTCACCTGGGATCAGCTCCTAAGAGACCCGTGTCAGCCTCTGCCACGGCATCAGCCAGCTTCGACACGGTGTCAAGGAATGGCTTCGGGGACCTTGAATCGCCGTAATACTCAGAGTAGGCCTCCTCCAAGGTCATGCCTACCCGGTGGTCATAGCTCCCCTCCGCAGGGGTCACCTCCTGAAACAGAGGTCACAAAGGTCAATTCGGAAATTGGATGTTATGAAGACTCTGTAGGTGGAAGCGTTCAGAACATCCCTTCTTCAACTCATGCTGTATATTGACCTTACAATGCTGAACTGATGCTGTAGACTGACCATACAATACTCAACTAATGCTGTAGACTGACCTTACAATACTCAACTAATGCTGTAGACTGACCTTACAATGCTCAACTAATGCTGTAGACTGACTTTACAATGCTCAACTAATGCTGTACAGTGACTTTACAATGCTCAACTAATGCTATAGACTGACTTTCATATATTCATAAGATATAAGAAAAGTTCCCAGGCACGCAAAATATGCCTCTAGACCAAATAAACAAAAAATACCACAATAAACCAAATCTTAAATCTTCGAACAGCTTGCGTCCGAAAACGAGCTATCGAACTGTTATTGAAAATCTTATCATGATTTGGGCTTCGCAAAGTTCGAAATGTAATTCGTTGTTAACAAGAGCCCGTCTTCATTAACAATGGCTCAATGCTGGTTAATCCACAGCTTCTCCTCACTAACAATGGTTAAATGATCGTTAATCTATAATCACTCATGTCTCAATTGGTTGTCTACCTAAAACAATGACAAATATGCAGCGAATCATCTCTATAATATATGCAAAAAGGAAAAAAAAATAGATTATCATTAAATACCAATCACATTCTCGGTGCTTTCAATGTACGCTAAAATGTTCCTTAGTTTCCAGCCTGTAGGAGGCCTGGTCGACGACCGGGCCGCGGGGACACTAAGCCCCGGAAGCACCTCAAGGTAACCTGTAGTTGTTAGCAATGCTTTTGAAATGTATTTTGGTTTAGCTTTCATATATTGTTCTGTTGGCAATGTTATATGGACTTGAGATTTTAAGTGTTAACACCCTGTGTTTCAGGCCAAGATTAGCACGAGCCAAGATGGGTGAGGACATTGTGGGAGAGGACATTGTGGGAGAGTACATTGTGGGAGAGGACATTGTGGGAGAGGACATTGTGGGAGAGGACATTGTGGGAGAGGACATTGTGGGAGAGGACATTGTGGGAGAGGACATTGTGGGAGAGGACATTGTGGGAGAGGCCATTCTGGGAGAGGACATTGTGGGAGAGGCCATTGTGGGAGAGGCCATTGTGGGAGAGGACATTGTGGGAGAGGACATTGTGGGAGAGGACATTGTGGGAGAGGACATTGTGGGAGAGGCCATTCTGGGAGAGGACATTGTGGGAGAGGCCATTGTGGGAGAGGACATTGTGGGAGAGGACATTGTGGGAGAGGCCATTGTGGGAGAGGCCATTGTGGGAGAGGCCATTGTGGGAGAGGACATTGTGGGAGAGGACATTGTGGGAGAGGACATTGTGGGAGAGGCCATTGTGGGAGAGGACATTGTGGGAGAGGACATTGTGGGAGTGGACATTGTGGGAGAGGACATTGTGGGAAAGAACATTGTGGGAGAGGACATAAATAACTTTTACTGTTATCTACCAATCAGAGTGAGAGAGATAGACATGACCGGAAGCCTAACTGGCATCAGAAACCCACAACAGAACCCCCCCCCCCAGGGGGAGTGGGGGGTTGAGGGGGTTTCCTGAACGGTAAAAACAGTCACTACTGACCCAATTTAGGGCCTCCGAGTGCTGACCCAATAATAAGGGAGAAAGAATTGTCAGAGAAAATTACCAAGTCAATACGACTATATAGCACTTGAAAGGGGTCAGGATAAGGCTCTGGGATGGGACGGGGGGGAAAGGAATGGTGTCCACAACCCCTTGGACAGTCGGGGATTGAACACCATCCTGCATGAAACGAAACCGTTGCTCTACCGTCCACTCCCAAGCGGACTGGCGGAAAAAAAGGAAAAAACGTAAAAAACTGGAATTAGAGAACTAATTCCAATATTTGGGTCAAATTAAATGATTTAACACATTTAATTCTTTATCTTTAGTCGTGATAACTACGCAATATCGGAAAACAAACTATCACCAAATATAGGAACTCTTTATCACGAAGCAAAAGGGAAAGTAATGAGCTCTTATCAATCAACAAGGTCGCAGCTAATCCTATGTTATCTCAGTGGATAGTTTACTTAGGGGATAGTTTACTTAGGGAATAGTTTCACATATACCGAGAGGAATGCTCTACTTCACTGTGTATATCCAGTGTGAGTTTACACCTGTCTTGGAGAAAGTTAAGGACTGAAGTGTACTAGTTGGTTCATCAGTAAACTGTTGTAGTGGTTCTGACAGCCCTTCAGAGTTGGATAGAACTTAATCTTATTTTATTCAGGTCAATTATCATCGACAGTGAAGAAAAACATAAGAAATATTGAGAAAATTGGTGTTAGAATTATTAATCTTAACTTTTCGGTCATATTAAGCAGCATATATATATATATATATATATATATATATATATATATATATATATATATATATATATATATATATATATATATATATATATATATGTCCTACTTGTGTATAAACAGAGTTTACACTAGCCCTAGACAATCTTAAGCCCTGAAAAATACCCTTCCTGCAATTGGATAGGGTGTAATAGCCTTCCCTCGGTTGTTAGGTTGTTAACTACGAACCAAAGTATCTTGCAAATATTTACGGAGCATAAACACAAAAAACCGGATATAAGCTGAGCCTTATCTCCCAACCGGAACTCTCCACTCGCGGGCCACCACGAACGCAGCGGCGGGTGCTGGAACCATGGGGACATGGGGGCAACCCGTTCTCCAAATTGAACGTCGCATTTTGACGTATACTCTACCTAAGGCCAACAAATTGTCGTACTAGAAAATGTCAGTGGCTCGCGATATTGACAATGTCCCGTTTTCTGTTTTGGGTCCTCTGGTTGGTTAAGATATTATATATTATATATATATATATATATATATATATATATATATATATATATATATATATATATATATATATATATATATATATATATATATATATATTTGATGGTTAGTGGGTGTTGTTTAATATTGACAAACTCTTATCCAGCTCTTATTTATCACAAACATATGAAATGCTAGAATCCTATAAGGTTTAAAAAGAGTTCAAAACTCCTCCTCTCTCAATAAAAGTCTTGTACAGTATAGTATCAGCCTCTATGATTACTCCTTGGTGCTGTGTAAAGTCTTCAAAGAGATTCAAACAGTCAAAGAGATTCTTCTTAAACTGCACTCCTAAAAATTATAGGAAATCATAAGGAAGCACTAGCCAGTGTCACTATATGCTCTTGAGCAAAACATGTCAGAAACATTCAATATCTTGTTAAACATAATATCTCTCTAAAACAGCAGTGGAAGCTGTCAAGTAGATCCTTGACACGTTACTGGATCAGCCAGGCTATGACAGCTGTGGGAACCTACGGGCTACGAACACAAACAGCTTAACAGACATGACAATCACCACCAAAGAAGGTCGGTCCCCAGGCCAGGCTTCGATAGGAGAGGATCTACGGAAGTCACCAACGTGTAACCTGAGCTACAGCTTAATTGGAAGCAGCATGAACTTTGTTTTTACTTCACATGAAAGAAAAAGAAAACACGCCTCGCAAGCTGGCCACAGATCAAGCTTCGAGAGTAAAAAAAAACCCTAGAAACCATCAACAGGTAATCATAACTCAGATGAAATCATTAAGCAACACACAGTCGTTTTCTTAAAATTGTAACTACACTTTGAGCTCCACTCGAAAGCAATTTAAAATAGTCCTTACCTGGAAGTACCTGATGACGACTCTCCTAATGGCTTCTCTGGTGATCTCCCGGTGGTGCCAGACCGTGGTCCCTCGATCGAACCCCGTACAATATATATCAAAGATATCGCCTTGAGTCTCCAAGAGAGTTCCACGCCCGAGGAAGGCGGTGGTGGGGCGAGGCGTTACCACCATCACTGCTAACAACAACCAGACTGAAACTACGTCGTTTGTCTCTCTTCGTCTCACCAGAGCCATTGTTAAACCCGTTTCAAAAACTAACTTGCAATACACCTTTAAAATCCTCAATGTAGAAACACTGTTGATTCCAATGGAATATTTGGAATGACCTCAGATGATCTGTTGTTGCTATTGTTCCTAGTGGCTTTTGGAGACAATCAGGAAGCAACAGTTACTCAAGAGGTCGTTTGAGTTGAGGAGCTGCACAGTCAGAGTGCCTCGTTCACCAATGGCACACTAGCTTGTCGGCACAGCTGGCCTGGAGGTGTATATATATACACACTACCTGACACACTCCTGCCGGATGCCCATGTTTGTGAGGCCAGTGTGTTATCTTGATCCATGGGATACGAACCCTGAACACGCGTGGGTCGCACTTCATACATACCTTAACACATATGCTACGAGAAACACATGTTGAAACATATAGTCGCAACTTCTGAAACACAAATGTTATGACGTATCGAGATATATATACATACATATATATATTTATATATGATTTCCCAAATAATCACCTAATCTCCGGAAATGGTGTCATAGTGTACATACACACAGATACAACAGGTCAAATGCCAGGTGGTATTAGATAAGGAGAGGCCTTGAAAAGTCACTAAATACTGATAAAAAGCATCAAAGTACCGCATGGGAAGGAGGGAGGTCGGCCCTTTTGAGTTAAATAACATGTTAATCCATTATCATGTCTATTTAACCCTGCTACGAGGTTAGCAGATTGGCAGTTAACCAGTGAGACCTTATAGTTGTCAAAAGTTAATATATTTGTATGTAAACTATGCAAATATTGTATGTAAACTATGCATATATACCTGACACCGTACTTTGTATATACTGACAGTATACATAATAATTTTTACTGTATCCTCTTTCGTTAGACTTTTGCTCTGTACTAAATATGTGACTTGAGTTGTCTAATGTACTCACCTAATTGTACTCACCTAGTTGTGCTTCCGGGGGTTGAGCTTTGGCTCTTTGGTCCCGCCTCTCAACTGTCAATCAACTGGTGTACAGATTCCTGAGCCTACTGGGCTCTATCATATCTACACTCGAAACTGTGTATGGAGTCAGCCTTCACCACATCACTTCCTAGTGCATTCCATTTATTAACTACTCTGACACTGAAAAAGTCTTTCTAACGTCTCTAATATGTGCGTATTATGTGACCCCAGATGTGTCCATACTCAACATGTGTGTGTGTCTACATGTACTCTGTGATCCATGATACATATGTATGCTTCCGATAACCTCTCACATACCCTCACTCCCGCCTATGACTGAATAAATATACAATCGAACCCTTATTTCAAATATTGTTCCCCCTCCCCCCTTCCCCTCTGTACTCCAAACACTCTGCACCATCCAAAAATAGCGAACTACAAACCATGGTAACAACCATTCATTCCTGAGAGGTGGAGAATAGTGAACTACCCACACACTACGCCTACACAGCTCGTTCTTTCCTGATAAGAAAGGAATCTAACTAGTGTTTCGGCTACTCCTTTGAAGATTCCGAAAGGGGTCCGCCAGTCTTTTGATTCGCCGATCTTGAAGTGACTGTAGCAAGTGGTTTGAGGCTAAGACAGACCGTTTCCTACGGCTGTGTGAGGGGGTAATTCAACTTTGTTCATCGTTGCAAACAAAAGATGTGGAAAAAATTGCAATTATCTCAGCGTCGAATAACAAAGATTTGGCCAAGACGCAGACACAAGCTATGCGAAAATCATCAGAAAATATTGTTTAATACAGGTGTTTAACTGTCATGTCATCCAAGGACATGACAATATCACTTCTGTCAATGTCACTTATTAAATTTCCCACAAACACAACGGGCATAAAATATTTTAATATTACAGGAAAACTAATTTAACTCTTAGGAGGCTAAATACTTCTTTCTTAATCTTGTTGTACAGTAATCATATGGAACAATGGACCAGGAGTACATGCAGCATGGTACAGCATGGTACAGAGCTGAATAGCTGTATTAATAATAATATGTATAGCTATACTAACCAGCTATACAGAGAAAATACACACCACCATTTATATTGATACAGATCACCTGTGATATCATACACATTATAGAACAAAATCCTGAACGATGCTAAACCTTGAACACAAAACCCACGCAACGGAGCCGATTGGGCAAGCTTAGCAGAAAGTGATATTTACACATAATTCCTTAATGGTGACAAATTGCTAGATAGCGTTATCCCTTTTAACGTGTTTTATCCACGATAACCAGCCCGCCTCATACTTATATATACGTCACTCATACTCATGCGATATACATATAGCAGCGCGTCGCTTGGAGGCGTAATGAGTGAATGGTCTAAAAATGAACTTGTGATCTTTGACGAATAAGTGATTTCTTATCACGGCAGAGACTGGGCCACACTGATTCATTGCGTCACGCGTATGTTTATGCGTTAGGTAAAGGAAGATATATTGCGTCACGCGTATGTTTATGCGTTAGGTAAAGGAAGATATATTGCGTCACGCGTATGTTTATGCGTCAGGTAAAGGGAAGACTTTGCGTCACAATGACGCAATGGAACTCGTTCTCTCGACAACCCGTTCTCCCACTTGCTAATAGTCAATATTAGCTATGTAGACCAGACCACACACTAGAAGGTGAAGGGACGACGACGTTTCGGTCAAGTCCTGGACCAATCGACTTGAGAATGGTCCAGGACGGACCGAAACGTCGTCGTCCCTTCACCTTCTAGTGTGTGGTCTGGTCAACATACTTTAGCCTCGTTATTGTGACTCGTCGCCTGCATTTGGCTATGTACTTATTAATCAGCCAAATCGTGACTATAAGCAATAAGTCATATATGTACTGTCTTGTGCCAGAGCGGGTTGCTCTCGATTCACCCCATAAAAAAATAGTTCAGTCTTTGAGTCAATATCATGGCGGTTTTTAATTTCCCTAAACCACCATAATTGCTACGTCCGGGTCATTTGCATGCCAAAAAATGCCTCTTACTCGGCATTCAGTAAGAGGACCTGTACTCTTACTGAATGACCTCTTATGTGGTTTGTGTCGCGATTCAGAGATCAGTGAAAATGTATATAATGTTCGAAAAGTTTCACTTTTCTCTGTACAGGAACAGTTGGGCATTTTTTTTAATCATATAAAAACATGTATATCTTACAATAGGGAGTCGAGTGAATAAAGTTAGTGTGATACATCTCTTCTGCAGTATATTGTATAATACATTCAACGCGGATTTATATTATGAGTTATTTATGTTCACTTGGTTACAAAAACTCGGGTGATGTTTGTACTCAAGATGATGAATAGGTTACAGACTCAATCATGGGGTGAGTTAAAAAAGAGTTGAAACCGAAGTTTTACTGAACTTACTGGATCCTGCAGCCTCTCCGAGACACAAACCAGGGTTTTACACAACTCCCCCCTGCACTCGAGCTATGTCAATAGGTGTATTGCTTGCCATAGTTATGGAAGGCAGCTGATTAAATGTGGATATAGTCATGCACCTTAAAGCAAGAATGAGAATGGTTGCATTCTGGATCTTCCATGTAACTGTCTGAATTCAGCCTCTGATGTATCTTTTTTATTGACATTTATGAGTCTTGAGCCAGATGAGTTATTGAGAGGGACGAGGCGACCACACGAGGCAGTGGAGCGGTGAGAGGCACTCATTACTGTATGAGTAATGGGTGTGGCAGCGCTCATGGCTCTCCTGGCAGCTGGGAGGCACTGCTGTCTCTCCCCGGCACCAGGCACCAGGGAGAGCCTGTAAACAACTGTCTGTATTTATATTTGTTTGCAAGATATGGCGACGTCGAGCGTGGACTGGTCCTCATATATTCTTGCGCTGAATCTAACAATCATTCATCCTCATTTCGAACCATCAGTCCTCATCGCTGATGAGTCTGACCGGACATGCAGCTCTACATTTCACGCACGAAATCATCAATTACATGATCACGTTGTGGGCTCATTCCAATGATATCCGTATTCATAGTTATAAATTGATTAAGATTCCCCAGTGATCATCACATAACCTGGCATATAGGTTATGCCAGGTTAATTGGCATAACCTATAGGCCAGTTAAACCCCCCTTAACAACAGTTAAACCCCCATTAACAACAGTTAAACCCAAATTAACAACAGTTAAACCCACATTAAACATCTTGTCAATATTTTTTACTCTCTAAACTGTTTTTTTGTTGTTGTCATTATTCAATCTTCGTTTTTCATGCTTATGCATTTCTCAAGCTCCTGAAAATAAATTTTTCATATAGACTACAGCTAGGCTTAACGTCTTCTCGGTTCGCATCCAAAATAAGCACAAATGAAAAGGTGTGCTTATGTATACTTATTATATGTATACTTATATGTATATGAGTCGAGTCCACTGTGTCTGTTGACCTGATTATTGATCCATTTAAAACTATCAGTATTTTCAAAATGTAAAAAGTTAATAAAATTCGACGTCTCTTCCTACTAATACAGGAAGACCTGGATACATACATCGAGAGGCAGACTCTGCCTGTTGTGTATGTACACTGAAAGGTTTCGTCTTGTATGGAATTATGTTCAGGGCTAAAGTTTACTTCCTGGTTGATCAGTCAACTATTGTGTTAAAGAGTAACCTGCAAACATGGAAGAACAATTTGAACAAATGGAACAGCAATTTGCAAACCTGGAACAGCAATTTGCATACCTGGAACAGCAATTTGCATACCTGGAACAGCAGTCTGCACACCTGGAACCACAGACAGCACATCTGGAACAACACTGCAAAAATGCTATGGCCTGCACCACCACCATTTCTGTCATCAAGATCACTATACTTCTCTTCAATAATTCCCACTATTCTAAACGCTTCTCTGGAAGACGCTCCGGTTAAACGATCCCATTAAACGACTCCTATCAACAGTTAATTAAACTCCCACACGTTAGTGGAACACTGTGGGCGTCATTCTAAAAAAAAAAAAAAACATTCCTCATATAAGATGATGTATTCCTTCTTAATTGAGTGCCCAATCACTTAAGCTGGACGGTAGAGCGATGGTCTCGCTGCCTGCAGTGTCGATGTTCAATCCCCGACCGTCCAAGTGGTTGGGCACCATTCCATCCCCCCCGTTACATCCTAAATCCTTATCCTGATATCTTCCAAGTGCTATATAGTTGTGATGGCTAGAGAGAGAGAGAGAGAGAGAGAGAGAGAGAGAGAGAGAGAGAGAGAGAGACAGAATGAGTGACATAGATGAGAGGAAGAAGGGCTATGGAAGAGGGAGAGAAGGGGACAGGAAGAGGAATGGTACAGCTGGAAGGAAGCACACAGAAAGAAAATGATCAATAAGAATGAGATGGAAATAGAGATAGAATGTGTGGAGGGAAAGAGAGATGGAGGAGAGGAGCGAAATGCAGGACAAAGGAAGGAACCAAACGATGGAGATAGGAAGGGGATGAAGGGGAAACAAAGCAAAAGATAACTAACAGGATAAAAAGATAAACAAGGCACTAACAACTCCAGAAAATACAACAGATACAACACCCTACGTTATAAAACCTCAGAAGCAAGACAATTTCATCTTAAACTTAAGATAGACTCACTATTCGATACAATGTCTTATTACTGAATGCTTAGGAGTACCCAGATTCACAAGTTTGAATCCTTATCATAGCTCCTTGACTGATTTATCTCATATTATTGATAGAGACTTACTCGCCTTCAACAGCAGCGGTTCCCATCAATAATGATGCTGTTAAAATATTCTGGACACGACTGTGTCAATTGTTGAGGAGGCGCGGAGAGGCGGGTATAAGAGAGCAGTCCAGCTGTAGTGCCACACTCCGTGGCACTCAGCGGCACTCAGCACTGGCACTCCCTGGCACACTGACCCACGGAACATCAATCGACTCACAATAGTCGCGATGACGAGTTATTCTCTGGTGATAGTAACTGCATTGATGTACATGACTAAGGAGTTGATGGTGGTTGATGCGCTTGGTAATTCGACTATTTATACCGAAGACGATGAAGAATTGGCCTCATTAATGGAGCTTTTGGCTGAGCAGTACGCGCCCAGGTGCCTCAGGGTAGTCGTAGGAGATGCCAGGCTCTGGAATGGCAATTGGGGCCGTGATCACGTTATCATCAACCCAAACAACTACATTGAAGCCCAAAACACCATAGAGTTTATCAAGGAGAACCTGCTGAGCGTGACCACATACTCGTGTGTCGTCTACATGGCCCCACACCCACTCTTGCTACGTCCTCAGCTCCTGGCGGCCATCACTGACCTCTCCAAGAAACATATCAACCGATATATCGTCGCTCGGGCCGCTAGCGTCACTCACGCCAGCGAATTCCTCTTAGATAAGCGTCTTAGCCAAGAGGAACACGTAGCAGCCCTTGTGAAGAAGACAGGGCGTAGAGGATCCTGGTGGCAAGTGCTCAACCGGCAGCTGTATCATCACTCAGGCTCACCGGAGGTTCAACAGATCACCACGTGGTCCAAAGGAAGAGTTTTACACACCAGAAGAAAACTATTCCCCGAGCAGATGGCCAACTTCTACGGTCTCAGGATGGTTGGCGTCACGTTGGACTTCCGACCCTTCACGGACTTCGAGGTAAACCCTGGTTCCAGGAGGGTAAAGGCCAGGCCATCGCTAGATATCTTTATTCTAAACGAGATCGCCAGGAAGCTAAATTTCACTTACGACTTGGTCATGCCTGTTGATGGTCTCTGGGGCTTCCTGAAGGACGACGTAAGTAACTTTACTGACTCTACTAACTTTACAGAAGTTGACCAGACCACACACTAGAAAGTGAAGGAACAACGACGACGTTTCGGTCCGTCCTGGACCATTCTCAAGTCGATTGTGAGAATGGTCCAGGACGGACCGAAACGTCGTCGTCCCTTCACCTTCTAGTGTGTGGTTTGGTCAATATATTTCAGCCACGTTATTTCTCCTGTCCCCCCCCCCCAGCCACTGGGGGGGGGGAGGACAGGAGACTCGTTCGATTCCCATCTTGGCCACGGAATTCTATAATTAGGACTGTCTGTTATCTCAGGACGGTAGAGCGACGGTCTCGCTTCATGCAGGTCGGCGTTCAGTTCCCGACTATACAAGTGGTTGGGGCACCATTCCTTTCCCCCGTCCCATCCCAGATCCTTATCCTGACCCCTTCAGTTGTGTTACAGGATTGTTATCGTAGTGTTAGTTAAGTTACAGTAGTGTTGCCGGGGTGCTCCAGCTGCGTTACAGTGGCGTTACAGCGGGTACATATAGTGGCGTTACAAAAAGCTATATAGTGGCGTTACAAAAAGCTATACAGTGGCGTTACAAAAAGCTATACAGTGGAGTTACAAAAAGCTATACAGTGACGTTACAAAAAGCTATATAGTGGCGTTACAAAAAGCTATACAGTGACGTTACAAAAAGCTATACAGTGGAGTTACAAAAAGCTATACAGTGGAGTTACAAAAAGCTATATAGTGGCGTTAAAGGGGCGATAAAGAAGAGTTACAGCAGAATTACAGTGGTGTTACAGGCATTGCCAATGCGGTTCACATGGTCACTATTACCAATCCAATTCTTAATTGTGGAAATGAACAAGCGGAAGGACACTGTAAAATAATATAAACGAGACTCGTGCAATCAAAGATAATCAAAACAAGTGGCTATTAGAAGTGAACTCTAGAAAGTGCAACGTGATGGATATAGGTGATGGGAACAGGCGGTCGGTCAACAGGACAACTGGCAAACCTGATCCCTTGTTGAACTTGGGGAATAAAATAATATATATATATATATATATATATATATATATATATATATATATATATATATATATATGTATGAATACACTTTTCGTGGAACCCAGGAGCTGAATCTCAACTCCTGGACGCACAATTGGGTGAGATAAACAATTAAAGTACACACATTCATCACTATGTGTGAGAGGGGGGGGAGGGGTCGTGATGAGGGGGTGAGGGGGGAGGGGGTTGCAATACAGGTGATGCATGGCTGGAGTTTGGCAACGAGCTGTCAACCCCTGAAACGCTAATTTGAGAACCAGAGTAACGAAGGTGAAAAGTTTGGAGAGAGGTGTCAATAAGTGGAGGCAGCATCACGCTGACCGATGTGTATTGGAAACCATCATTTTCGCAAACTCTCGTTAATTTCCGTCAGGTCTCGTTTCGCTAAAATGATAGATTATGTGTGGAGTGTAAATCACACCCCAGCAATAGTCTTCACTAAACAGTCCTTTGTTGTGTGTTTTTTACTTCGTAAAAGAGATAGGAAAAGACGTGTGTAAATTTCTGTGTGTAAATGTCTTTTCACACAGAAATTACAATTGCGTGATGCATCAACTGAACAAATCCCCAAGGGCCGTGACGAGGATTCGAACCTGCGTCCGAGAGCATCCCAGAATCCTCGTCACGGCCCTTGTGGATTTGATCATTTAAATGTCTTTATGTCTTGGGGGAGTCGGTCGGCCGAGCGGACAGCACCCTGGACTTGTGATCCTGTGGTCCCGGGTTCGATCCCGGACGCCGGCGAGAAACAATGGGCAGAGTTTCTTTCACCCTATGCCCCTGTTACCTAGCAGCAAAATAGGTACCTGGGTGTTAGTCAGTTGTTACGGGCTGCTTCCTGGGGGTGGAGGCCTGGTCGAGGACCGGGCCGCGGGGACACTAAAGCCCCGAAATCATCTCAAGATAACCTCAAGATAACCAGCTGGGTGATTGACCTCCGATAATTAAGCTTAGACGTGGAACTTAAGCTTAAGTTCCGAGGCACGGCCGGAGCTTGACATTTCACCAAGACTTGGGGACATTCCATCTGGCTTTAATACCCATCACAGTTCAACCCAGTTCCCCCTAAATAAAAGCAACATAATATGTATTTATTTTAAGCAAAACTGCCCAATATCATAAGCTACACGAAATGCATTTCGACCTGATTACATTCAGGGAGGATCCTGGAAACACAAACCGTAACTATCTCTATTTTCCGATTGTTAAAACGTGTAATAAAGTTGTTATATCTTGGCTTAACGTGTTTATGACGTATTAGAACGTTGTTACAATTTGCTATATTGGTTGTTATAACTGGTTAGGTGTTAAAACTTGTTCGAACGTTGTAGCAACGTCGCACTTTCGGTGAGTGTGTGGCGGGGAGCCGTTCGTAAGACACGACAGAATGGCCAATGTTAGGTAGTTATACGAAAGCCCCTTAAGGCAACATAACTGCATAGTTCCAATGCTGCATTTGCTGACTTAATCTTAAGTGATCTCAGACCAACAGACACGCGAAAGAGTCATTAATGACCGCGTGATCGATTGACTGGTCCAGTTATAACGTTTAAAAGCTATGTTGACCAGACCACACACTAGAAGTTGAAGGGACGACGACGTTTCGGTCCGTCCTGGACCATTCTCAAGTCGATTGTCACAATCGACTTGAGAATGGTCCAGGACGGACCGAAACGTCGTCGTCCCTTCAACTTCTAGTGTGTGGTCTGGTCAACATACTTCAGCCACGTTATAGTGACTCATCACCTGCATTTAAAAGCTATGTTTGGTAGTAATTGACTTCGAAGCGATCCTGTCTTGATGGACTGGTTTCCACTCAACTTGCAACGAATTGAAAATTGATGGAATCGCGAGTGATACCGGTAATAGTGACAATAGTGTCGTTAGATGATTTATAGACATCAGTTACAGGTATTCACTTGAAAATTAACTTTTCACATGCACTTAGATATCGACGTTGGATGTCGACGCTGGCTCGAATCTCGACACTGGTGCAGATATCGACATCAAGTGTCGATGTCGGCCAACTATCGACACTGGTACGAAGGTCGACGTTTAATTACATGTCGACGTTGGCATTTATGTAGGAGAACATATGTAGGAGTTGGCTGTACTATATGTAGCAGAACACATATCTGGTCGCGTGTGTGTAAGATAGCTGAGAATACATATATATATGTATGCTGCTAAGTAGTGTAAAAACCATTACAATCACCTTGTATGCTCGATTTAATTGTTTATCAGGGGAAAGCGCCAAGCCATTACGACTATATAGCACTGGGAAGGGGTCAGGATAAGGATTTGGGATGGGACGGGGGAAAGGAATGGTATCCAACCATTCAAAGTGTCGAGTGCTCAAATGACTCACTATACTATGGTGTCTAGCAGATCTCTCAACCAGTCCGCAGAGGACAGGAGTGAGGGAGGGAATTGTCAGGGGGAAATCGCCAAGACATTACGACTATATAGCACTTCGAAGGGGTCAGGATAAAGATTTGGGATGGGACGAGGGGAAAGGAATAGTGCCCAACCACTTGGACGGTCGGGGATTGAACGCCGACCTGCATGAACTGAGACCGTCGCCCTACCGTCCCGCCCAAGAGGAGGACAGGAGAAAATTAATATATATTTTGATTACCATTGTTAATGGTAATCTGAGATAGATAGTAATCTGAGTAATCTGAGATAACCTTATCTGAGATAGTAAAAAAATAAAATCATTACATTTCGAACACTGTAACAACGCAACCTTCGGCTCTTTTACATTTCCGAACACCGACAGGGCCACTGGACGGGCGTGGTCGGAGAGGTGGAGTCCGGACGAGCCAACTTCTCCCTCGTGCTATCAGTGACTTTTGAACGGACTCGAATCGTCGATTTCACTCGCATGTATTACCTCGACCCCCTGAGCTTTGTGACGGCCAAGAGCCGCCATCAGCCCCCTTGGCTCAAGCTTATCACCCCCTTCAGTGGTGAGTATGGGGGGACATGGGTAAGGGGGGAGGGGATAATAGGGGAGGTATGGGATTGGGGAGGGAGGTGGTGTTAGGATAGGGGCGATATTGTATTTACACATTTCTGTCTCATGTATGTAATCGGAAGTGAAAATCAGAGTGGAGATGCGGACTCTAGAGATCAGGGATATGAGGATAGAGTGAAGGAGCGGCGTCTATCCACTTGGGCCATGAGGAAGCGGACGCCAACTTTGCAAAGAACAGCGCCATCGCTAAACTGACTAGTCTAGGTGGATGGAGATCGATAGATGTAAGGGGAGAGAGAGAGAGAGAGAGAGAGAGAGAGAGAGAGAGAGAGAGAGAGAGAGAGAGAGAGAGAGAGAGAGAGAGAGAGAGAGAGAGAGAGAGACAGATACAAAAATAAAGGAAGTAGTGTCTGTGTTCAAATTTAATAACCTATGAAAAGTTCCTTGATTCCATTCAACTGAAAAAAATAATTAGAAAACAACATTCAACAATTAGAAAACTTGGATAAACTCAATCTTGTTATCTTGTTCGCGCCTGTTAAGCCTGTTAAAAAAATCCCTTTCCAACAGATATGAATGTATATAATTACACCAGAAACCACAGATGTCAAACCCTGGTTCGCCCCCCCCCACACACACACCAACCCGTTCTCGCACTTGCTTATAGTCAATATTAGCTTATTTAATAAGTACATATGTGACATACTAATTGATTAAAATATTCACAATCAATTAGTATGTCACATATGCACTTATTAAATAAGCCAATATTGACTAAAAAGCAAGTGCGAGAACGGGTTTCACACACAGGTCAGGTGTGGGTGGTGTCGTCGGCATCTGTGGTGGTGGCTGTGGTGCTCTACTGGGTCATCTTCCGAGCCCAGGCCGTCTTCGGCTCGTCCGTCGTGACTCCCTCAAGGGCTTTCATATATATCTTCGGGGCCTTCCTCGGCCAACCTCTTCCAAGGATGGCCTGGTTCTCGGCCGGCAAGGTAAGATGCCCTGGGGCCCAGATTCACAAGTAGTTACGCAAGTACTTACGAACCTGTAGATCTTTTCTCAATCTTTGGCGGCTTTGTTTACAATTATTAAACAGTTAATGAGCTCCGAAGCACCAGGAGGCTGTTTATAACAATAAGAACAGTTGATTGGCAAGTTTTCACGCTTGTAAACTGTTTAATAAATGTAACCAAAGCCGTCAAAGATTGAAGATGTACACGTTCGTAAGTACTTGCGTAACTACTTCGTGAATCTGGTCCCCGGGCCCCAGCTTCACATTCACTGATCATCTTAAATGATTAATTTGACTTATTCTTAAATAGTCTATACTGGAGTATCCGAAGGTATTTTAAGTTTATGTACTTGATTATTCTTATATATCTCTCCTTTTAGCCTGCAGAATTATCGTTCATATATTTCAGTTATTCCTCAAAACAACTGCTCGTTAATTCAGCAGTTGTTTACCCTCTTTATTGATAAAAAGAAGTTTATATGCGATTCATAATTGTTTTAGAATTTGAATCACTTCAAATGTTTCGAATCACACTTCACTAAATGCTTAACCTACGTCATACAAGCATGGATAATTGTCAACAGAATCTGAACACCTAACCGAATCCTGTCTCAATTCTGCACACAATTTTAAGATTAAGATGTTTCGGTCCGTCCTGGACCATTCTCAATTCGATTGTGAGAATTTACTTGAGAATGATCCAGAACGAACCGAAACGTCGTCGTCCCTTCACTTTCTAGTATGTGGACTGGTCATCACCACCACTACCACCATCACCACTACCACCATCACCATCACCACTACCACCATCACCACCATCACCACTACCACCATCACCACCATCACCACTACCACCATCACCACCATCACCACTACCACCATCACCACTACCACTATCACCATCACCACCATCACCACCATCACCACTACCACCATCACCATCCCTCAGCATCCACCACCCCGGTCGGGGAGCCGGTCGGCCGAGCGGACAGCACGCTGGACTTGTGATCCTGTGGTCCTGGGTTCGATCCCAGGCGCCGGCGAGAAACAATGGGCAGAGTTTCTTTCACCCTATGCCCCTGTTACCTAGCAGTAAAATAGGTACCTGGGTGTTAGTCAGCTGTCACGGGCTGCTTCCTGGGGGTGGAGGCCTGGTCGAGGACCGGGCCGCGGGGACACTAAAAAGCCCCGAAATCATCTCAAGATAACCTAAAGATAACTCAAGATAACCCCTGACAGGTTCTTCTGGGGTTCTGGTTGGTGTGGACACTAAAAAGCCCCGAAATCATCTCAAGATAACCTAAAGATAACTCAAGATAACCCCTGACAGGTTCTTCTGGGGTTCTGGTTGGTGTGGACACTAAAAAGCCCCGAAATCATCTCAAGATAACCTAAAGATAACTCAAGATAACCCCTGACAGGTTCTCCTGGGGTTCTGGTTGGTGTGGACACTAAAAAGCCCCGAAATCATCTCAAGATAACCTAAAGATAACTCAAGATAACCCCTGACAGGTTCTTCTGGGGTTCTGGTTGGTGTACTCCTTCCTGGTGACATCATACTACAAGACTTCACTGACAGCTACCCTAGCAGCCCCCTCAATCCCGCCAACCATCGACACACTGCACCAGCTTCTGCGGTCCAACCTCAAGTTCGGCATGATCGACGCTAAGGTGACGTACATCGACGCGTCGATAGTGGTACTTTGACGTTCGGGTAAGATGCATATAGTCTCTAGGATAAGGGGATTATCCATTGGATAAAATGCATTGATGCTCAGGTATGGATCGTCGACTTTTAGGTAAGTTAAATCAACGCTCAAATCTTTTACGAATGAAATCAATAAATCTATTTACCAATTTTAACAATTAACAATTAACACAAAGAATATTGTTCCGGATAAATAAATTAGCTAACGTAGAGATATAACTGTTTCTGAGATTATCTGTATCCGTTCAAGTGAAATTATGCCCATTCTAAAGTATGGTAACAAAAGTTGAACTATATAACATAAATAGGGTCTATAACAGGAGCAAGATAGCTGAAAAATAACATTCAAAATCTTACTGATAATTACCCAACCACTTGGGCTGGATGGTAGAGCGACGGTCTCGCTTCATGCAGGTCGGCGTTCAATCCCCGACCGTCCAAGTGGTTGGACACCATTCCTTTCCCCCGTCCCATCCCAAATTCTTATCCTAAATTTCCAAAGGCTACATAGTCGTAACGACTTAGCGCTTTCTCTTCATAGTTCCCCTTCAAATTACTGATAACGGATGTTTATAGATGTAATTCCAGTATTCCTTTAGCTTTAATCCGTTTATTTATGCTTTGATTTGCTTGCTTAATTTCTGTAAAAAATTTCCGATTTTTCTTAATTTCTGTAAAAAATAAATTTTTTCGATGTGAAATGAATGCGAAACAAAATTATGTTTCTCAGTACGAATCGACTAGAATTAAACATAAAATAATTTAACATAAACTGTTGAAACCTGATAATGGGACGTGTGTGTGTTGAAAAGCCTCGTTACAGGCGTAACCACACTACAGAATCACTGTCGATGCATGATCTTAATGTCCCAACATCTTGAGTCACTCCTCCACATGTCTCAAGTCCCTCTCCACCGTCACAGGGATCAGAGTTCCAGCTCTTCTCGACCTCCAACGTGACACTCTATCAGAAAATGTTTAAGGAAATGAGCTTCTACTCGTCCTCCGAGAGCATGCAGCGCGTCGCAGCCGGTCACTACGCTTACATCTACTTCAAGAGTAACTTAGAGACGATCGTTAGTACCAAGTTCACAAGCCTGGGAGGCAAGACAGACTTGCATGTGGCTTCTGAGAACTTTTTTCCTGGTGGATATGGTTGGGCTTTCCCCAAGGTAATTCTTGTAGCAGGGTTCTGTGGTTTTGAGATTTTCATGGTCTCACGTTCAAAGCTCTAAGATTTTCATGGTCTCACGTTCAAAGCTCTTGAGATTTTCATGGTCTCAAGTTCAAAGCTCTTTTGAGATTTTCATGGTCTCACGTTCAAAGTTCTTGAGATTTTCATGGTCTCACGTTCAAAGTTCTTGAGATTTTTATAGTCTCAAGTTCAAAGCTCTTTTGAGATTTTCATGGTCTCACGTTCAAAGCTCCTTTTAGTGGAGTAGCGTTTTGACTTGGATTCAGTTAATTGACTTTTGTATATCTGAATTTACACAGACTTGTTGTAGAGAGAGACAACTGGTTCAGGAATATTAATTTGAGATATACCTCTCCTGCCTTTCACAGTCTGTGATAAATGATTGGAAAGGACAGGAATGAGTTGATTTTATAAATATTTTATATCCTTACTGTATTTTTATTCTCTGGCTCCCTGCACAGGGAGCACCTTACGGGAGAATGTTTGACAAGGTCATGTGGCGCTGTGTCCAAGCTGGCCTGATAGACAAGTGGTTGAAGGACCTCTACACTATCTACTTAGAGGAGACGATGAACCAAAAGACGCCGCAGGAGAGATTAGAAGAGAAAGAAGCTGCCAGCGCCAAGAGCAATAACGACGTAGAACAGGCGAGTAACATACAATCTTAACGACTGAATCGCTAATCTTTCCTTTGCTGCACAAGAAAAATGGCCGAGTGATCTGTAAGATTACAGCCACAGCCCCCAAAATTGGCATTCCTTACCTTAATTCTAACAGGCGGACCTTACAGATGTCGCATCTCACCTCAGGGAGCCGGTCGGCCGAGCGGACAGCACGCGGGACTTGTGATCCTGGGTTCAATCCCAGGCGCCGGCGAGAAACAATGGGCAGAGTTTCTCTCACCCTATGCCCCTGTTACCTAGCAGTAAAATAGGTACTTGGGTGTTAGTCAGCTGTCACGGGCTGCTTCCTGGGGGTGGAGGCCTGGTCGAGGACCGGGCCGCGGGGACACTAAAAAAAAAAGCCCCGAAATCACCTCAAGATAACCGTTCTTCATCACTGAAGACGAAGCTAAACTACGCAACACAGTGTCTCATGGAACATAGCCACCTGCTGCTCCTATACCTGACCCCCCAACAGGGGTGGAGATCGTTTAATTGGCAATTAAAGGTCTTCTGCTGGTGCCCAAACAGCTAAGCTATTCCCTGTCCACTGGCTTTTACTACACTGAAGATTGTACCATGCTGGGGAGTCTACCTTACCTTCCTTGCTCAATCCCATTGGCTGAGCTCAGTCGACTGCAATTGGGCTCTCTCAAACTGATCCCTCCCTGATTGGTCAATTTGATTTCAAATATAGCTTGGATAGCTAATAACATGTTACAGGTGTATCGTAGAGCAATGTTGACTGTGAATGCATGGTTTAAAATTATGCAAAAATTAAAATTTTAAATTAGTCAAAATTTTCAGATGACCAGACTACACACTAGAAGGTGAAGGGACGACGACGTTTCGGTCCGTCCTGGACCATTCTCAAGTCGATTGTGTCGTAGAATGTATACCTAAACGTCGTCGTCCCTTCACCTTCTTATGTGTGGTCTGGTCAACATATTTTAGCCACGTTATTGTGACTCATCGCCTGTATATTATCAGATAATGCACTGCTGTTGGAAATACACCTACAGTGGGTGTTGGTGTATTATGTATTGTGTACTTATTACGTATACGAATACAAAATACATAAAGCAGGAATGTATGAACACGTGACATCCTCTAAAATTTCCTCATGAACTCTCTCTCTCTCTCTCTCTCTCTCTCTCTCTCTCTCTCTCTCTCTCTCACACACACACACTCTCTCTCACTATATGCCTTGACTTTGACTTGTACTTCGTTTAAACCCTTGTGAGAATCATCACCATCAATTTGACTGTAAATACCTATAAGAACCCAAAATAAACGAGGCATCAAACCATTAAATAATGGCAGGTTTTAACGATGTAGTTCAACCCCATGTTCTTTCTCTCTCCTTCCACAGGTGGTGCTGAACCTGGACCACTTACAGGGAGCATTCTTCTCACTCCTCTTGGGCACTGCTGCTGGAGTTCTACTCCTGCTGATGGAGTGCGTCTTCAGCAGGTTCCTGTCCTCAGTGGCCTTGACCTCTAACTGTCCCCTGGGTCAGAGTCATGCCTCTGGGTCAATCATGAAACCAATCGTTTTAATGTGCAGGCGATGAGTCACAATAACGTGGCTAAAGTATGTTGACCAGACCACACACTAGAAGGTGAAGGGACGATGGCGTTTCGGTCCGTTCTGGACCATTCTCAAGTCGATTGTGAGAATTCTCACAGTAGATTATCACACTCGACTTGAGAATGGTCCAGGATAGACCGAAACGTCGTCGTCCCTTCTCCTAGTGTGTGGTCTGGTCAACAACCGTTGTCATGACCGGAAACCCCTAGTTTAAGGGGTTTCTATTAATCATAGTCTATTAATCAAGACCTATTAAACAACGGAAAAAAAGTCTTCTGAAATTCGTCCTTTCTGGAAAGCTAAAAAAACAGACCTAAAACATTCCGTCAAGTGAAATGTTATTGTGTCTGATGTGTATATGTATAAGGGGATATGAATATGTATAAGTGTAGAAAAAGTGACGCTCATGCACTTACAGAAGCACTCAGAGGGGGTCCGAGAGCTAGAGCTCAATCCTGCAGGCACGAATAGATGAGTACAGACACACACGAAAAAATTAATGACGGTTCCCTATACATTATCTAAACAGATCAAGTTGCCACGTTTGTTTATCTGCTTTATCCTGCCTTAATTATTATCAAGTAATTAACTAATTTAAACGATTGAATAGTTAACATTTTGGGTAGATTAGTGTTGCAACATAATGTTATAAGCGAGGTTGGTGTCCTGAACAACAGAGATGATATTATGTTGGTACGGCAATTAGGCCGAATACCTTCGCGTGATTGGCTGTTGTGGTGAATGTCACCAACGAGTTTCAACCAATCAGATGCAACCAGAATGCTTCCTTCAGCACAACAACCCGCCTTATAGGGCGCTGTTGGCCTCTTGATAGTGCAATTTCCTGCCAACAGATGGCGCCACCTGTATTTTACACGCTGCTTGACCCTAGTCTGTTGATAGTGTCATTTTATGGCAATAGATGGCGTGAGCTGTATCTCATGGACTCGTGCTAACCTAACCTGTTAATAGTGCATTTTTCTGTGGATAGATGGCAGCAGCTGCATGGACTACCGGGATACCTACTGCTAGTTACACTATTGAAGAATTGTTACCTAGCGAGAGAACTGGATAAGCACCTCCAAAGGATACCTGATCAACCAGGCTGTGACTCATACGTCAGGCTGCGAGCAGCCGCGTCTAACAGCCTGGTTGATCAGTCCAGCAACCAGGAGGCCTGGTCGACGACCGGGCCGCGGGGACACTAAGCCCCGGAAGCACCTCAAGGTAGCCTCAAGGTAGCTAACATTGCTTATCTGTCCCATGGCATGTCAGTCAAAACGTCTCTTATACGGAGAGATAAGTCTCTCTGTTTGACTGTTAGTTTATTATAAAAAAGTCAGTAAATAAAGAAAATCCCCTTTGAAATTGGCATTAATAAACTCGTATTAATAAACTTGGTAATTAATAATTACTGTGTTGTAAACTAAGAATTAATGATACCTAGATGCTATATATACCCTCTTCTCTGTATGTGAGAAGAGAGAGACAGAGACAGAGACAGAGACAGAGACAGAGAGAGACAGAGACAGAGACAGAGACAGAGACAGAGACAGAGAGAGAGAGAAAGAGAGAGAGAGAGAGAGACAGAGAGAGAGAGAGAGACAGACAGAGAGAGAGAGAGAGAGAGAGAGAGACAGAGAGAGAGAGAGAGAGAGAGAGAGAGAGAGAGAGAGACAGAGAGAGAGACAGAGAGAGAGAGAGACAGAGAGAGAGAGAGAGAGAGACAGACAGAGAGAGAGACAGAGAGAGACAGACAGAGAGAGAGACAGAGAGAGAGAGAGACAGAGAGAGAGAGAGAGAGAGACAGACAGACAGAGAGAGAGAGAGAGAGAGAGAGAGACAGAGAGAGAGAGAGAGAGAGACAGACAGACAGAGAGAGAGAGAGAGAGAGAGAGACAGAGAGAGAGAGAGAGAGAGAGAGACAGAGAGAGAGAGAGAGAGAGAGAGAGAGAGAGAGAGAGAGAGAGAGAGAGAGAGAGAGAGAGAGAGAGACAGAGAGAGAGACAGAGAGAGAGAGAGAGAGAGAGAGAGAGAGAGAGAGAGAGAGAGAGAGAGAGAGAGAGAGAGAGAGAGAGAGAGAGAGAGAGAGAGAGAGAGAGAGAGAGACAGAGAGAGAGAGAGAGAGAGAGAGAGAGAGAGAGAGAGAGAGAGAGAGAGAGAGAGAGAGAGAGAGAGAGAGAGGCAGAGACAGAGAGATAACATATCCTGAACCCTCCCCCAAAAGACACACTAAACAAAGCCAGAACCAATCGTGCAACACTTATATTGTATGATACCGTCGCTAAGTGAATGGCGAACGACCCGTCCATTGAGCCGGATTCCTGGAAGGAGAGACTCTTGCATCCGGCCGACCAGACAACATCGTGGGAGAAAAAAGACCAATTTCAAGTCCGTCAGTGAAGGCAACAAAAACCTCTGACGAAATCAACACTACCACCTGGGTCTTTACTCCCGAATATTGACTCAATCGGGCTCTCAAACCTGGCGAATATTGCTCAATGGGATATCAATTTGCTTTTGTTTAACGGTATTAATGACGAAAATTTGAAAATTTAACCTCTAATCGAATAGTGGGACGTCGAATAGGGAAAAAAATCTGAGGGGAAAAAAAGTAGAATGATTGGAAAACACAGGATTATAGTTGATCGAACGAGTGTTCCAAGCTGGGGACAGGAGGGTGTCGAAGGCCAGTGTAGCTAAGTTGGTGTTACGTGGAGACCCGTAACACCCAGTTGGTAACACAGGCAGGTGTAGGGGGAGTAGGAGGGAAAAGGGATGAGTCACAGTAAGGGGTGAAGGTAGGTAGGTGACCTCAATGGGTCACCATTGAGGTCTTGAAGGGAGGAGGAGGAAGCTTCACCATCGGGGGTGTAGATGGTGAGAAAGTAGCGTCACCATCAGTGTGTGTGGGAACACTTGGAGTAGCTATGGAACACTCTGGCCGGATACAGACGACTGTGTCTTAGGATAGATGGGGGATAGACACAAGGTGATACAGAAAAGGGTAAAAATGGAAAAAAAAGTGAGATTAAGAGAGCACCCTTGGCAAAGTGGTCCTGAACCCTATGCATGTGGGGAAAGTGGGGATGGGGGCAAAAGTGGTCATATAATCTGACCCCTACACCCCCCCCCCCCCCCACATCTCCCCCAAACACCCCTTCTTCCCCCTCTTGAATGGCCTTGGCCTCCACAACAATGAGTCACTAATTACTCATCTGACCAGTAAATAGAGCTCCACAAGCGAGTGAAAAAAACGTTCACCCTCATAACAAACGTTGTCCGGTTAAACAACAAACGATATCCGGTTAAAGAGCTCCTTCTCGACTCCTTTGAACCGAAGTTTCTAACCCTTGGAATCTGAAACGGTTTAAGAAAAAATTATAAAAATTAATCGTATCCGCATCTCATTCTTGTCAAAATGTCGCCTCGATATAATTAGATTTTCCACCTCGTTACATACTTGTTAAACTTAATATTTCTTGACTTAAAGAGGCATTGTGCATAATGTTTTGTTCAGCGTCTCTACTACACTGGTATTCATCATTCATGTTCTGAAGATTTATGAAACATTAACACTTTTCAAAAGGAAATTCACGGTGAAAGTAACTATTATTTATCGTTTACAAGTTAAAAGTTGAGTAGTAAGTAATTATCTTTTCCCTGCTTGTGCCTTCTTTTGGTAATTATCTAGTACTCTACAAGTTCATTGGTGACATCACGGCCTACTTCGCTGGCTCGTATAGTGAATCAGTTGAGAATGAATTAGCAAATAACTGAATACTACACCCAAATTGTATTTACAGCTGTAGCAAAGTGGTCAAATGTTGTAGGATGATCATTAGAGAGAGAGAGAGAGAGAGAGAGAGAGAGAGAGAGAGAGAGAGAGAGAGAGAGAGAGAGAGAGAGAGAGAGAGAGAGAGAGAGAGAGAGAGAGAGAGACAGAGAGAGAGAGACAGAGAGAGACAGAGAGAGAGAGAGAGAGACAGAGAGAGAGAGACAGAGAGAGACAGAGAGAGAGAGAGAGAGACAGAGAGAGAGAGACAGAGAGAGAGAGACAGAGAGAGAGAGAGGTCTCACTACCTAACCGTCTAGTGCAGGTAAATGCCAATACATAACAGAGCTGATGACGAGAGACCGATTCCCCAGCGATTTGATCCTCCTTCCCCCTCTCACTTAAGATATGGGAGGAGAGAGAAGATGAGTAAGGGGATAAAATGAGTGGGAGGTTTGACTTAAGGGGAGGGAATGAGGTAAGATTTGATGTGTCACAGTTAAATGAGAACTTTCTTATTATTATGAACATCTTGATCATATCCCAGACCGTTCATCAATTAGTTTTCCTTTCCACCGAAGCCTCATATCTCCCTCACATCGAAATCCACAAGGGAATATCCCCCTTATCTCATCAACTGTCACCCATCCATCATTTTATCCATCAATGTCATATCTTCCCCTCTCTTCTCTCAACATTCTCTAACCCCCTCCTACCCATCCCTACCTCATAAGCTCCACCACTCCCTCACAATCCCCACCACTCCCTCACAACCCCCACCACTCCCTCACAATCCCCACCACTCCCTCACAACCCCCACCACTCCCTCGCAATCCCCACCACTCCCTCACAACCCCCACCACTCCCTCACACCCCCCACCACTCCCTCACACCCCCCACCACTCCCTCACACCCCCCACCACTCCCTCACAACCCCCACCACTCCCTCACAATCCTCCACCACTCCCTCACAATACTCCACCACTCCCTCACAATACTCCACCACTCCCTCACAATACTCCACCACTCCCTCACAATCCTCCACCACTCCCTCACAATCCTCCACCACTCCCTCACAATCCCCACCACTCCCTCACCACTCATCTCCCCCAATACATCTCATATTTGAAGCGAGAAGACGTGAAGAGCCACTCACAGTGAGGTGAGGAATGTTGTTGTTTAAGATTCAGCCACTTGGAACTAAAAGC